TGGGGAGGAAGAGGAGGAGGAGGAGGAGGAGGACATGGAAAGGATGCCCCTCAACCTCTGGCGCCGCCAAGCAAGGAGGCTTTGAGGCTTTGAGGAGTCCCCTCTGCCCTCTCCCCCTCCCCTTCAGTTCAACCCACCTTGCAAGTTCTTGTTCTCTCTTCTTAAGGTCTCCAGGAGTTCCAGGGACTCCTCGTAGGCGTTCTTCAGCTTGAAGAGCTCCGTGCTGAGGGAACGGGACTCTTTCTGGGATGCCTCCAGCTCTGCCTGAGATTCTTCGTTCTTCTGCTTCCATTCGGAGAGGATCTGAAGGGGGAAGGAGGGGAGGGAGGACAAAGAGTCAGCTCCTCCCCCTTTTTTCCCCCTTTGGTCTTGTTTCTTCCTTTTTTTTCTCCGTCTCCTCCTCCATCTCCTCTTCTTCCTCATTCTCCCCTTTCTCTCTTTCATCTTCCCCTTCTTCCCCCTTCTCTTTCCCTTCTCCCCTTCCACTTCCCCTCCTCTCATCCCTCTTTTCCTTTCCCCTCCTCTCCCCTGCCACTTCCCCTCCACTATTCCTTTCCCTCCTCTTCCTTCTCCTTTCATCCTCCTCCTCTTCCCCTTCTCTTTCCCTCCCCTCCTCCTTCCCCTTTCTCTTCTCCTTCTCCTCCCTTCTCCTTTCATCTTCCTTCCCCTTTTCCCTTTCTCTCCCCCTTTCTTTCCCTCATCTCCTTCCCTTCTTCTTATCCCTCTTATCCTTCTCCTCCTTTCCCATTCTTCTCCCCTCACCCCTTCTCCTCCCCCTCCACTTCCTCTTCTCTTTTCCTTCTTCTCTTCCTTCTCCTTTCATCCTCCTCTTCCCCTCCTTCTTTCTCTCCCCTCCTCCTTTTCCCTTTCTCCTCCTTCTCCTCCTCTCCTTCTCCATCCCCTCGCCTTTCATCCTCCTTCTCCTCTTCCCTTTCTTCCCCTCCTCTTTCTCTTTTCCTCCTCCTCTTCCCCCCTTTCTCCTTCCATCCTCCTCCTCTTCCCTTTCCCTCCCCTCCTCCTCCCCTCTCCTTTCATCTTCCTTCTCCTTTTCCCTTTCTTTCCCCTTTTCTTTCTCCCCCTTCCACTTCTCCTTTTTCTCCTCTTTTCCTTCTCCCTTCCACTTCCCCTCCTCTTATCCCTCTTTTCCTTCTCTTCTTTCCCTTTCTCCTCCCCTCCATTATCCTCCCCTTCCACTTCCCCTCTTTTCCTTCTTCTCTTCCTTCTCCTTCCATCCTCCTCCTCTTTCCCTCCTCTTTCCCTCCCCTCCTTCTTCCCCCTTTCTCCTCTTCTCCTCCTTCCCCTCTCCTTTCATCCTCCTTCTTTCCCTTTCTCCTCCCCTCCCTTCTCCTCCTCTTCCATTATCCTCCCCTTCCACTTCCCCTCCTCTTTTCCTTCTTCTTTTCCTTCTCCTTCCATCCTCCTCCTCTTTCCCTCCTCTTTCCCTCCTCTCCTTCTCCCCCCTTCTCCTCTTCTCCTGCTTCCCCTCTCCTTCCCCTCTCCTTTCATCCTCCTTCTCCCTTTCTTTCTCTCCTCCCTTTCCCCTTCCTCTCCTCCTTCTCTTCCCCCTCCCTCTCCTCTTCCTCCTTCCCTTCCCCTTCTCCTTCCATCCTCCTCCCCTCCTTTCTCCTATTCTCCTTCCCCTCTCCTTTCATCCTCCTTCTCCTTTCTTTCCCTCCTCCCCTTCCCCTCCTCTTTCTCTCTCCCTCCTCATCATCTTCCGCCTCTTCCTCCTTCTCCTTCCATCCTCCTCCACTTCCACTTCCCTTTCTTTCTCCTCTTCTCCTCCTCTTCCTTGTTCTCTTCCTCCTCCACTTTCTCTTTTCCCTCTTGCCCCCCAATACAGGTAGTCCTCAACGTACGACAATAGTTTCTGTGGCTAAACAATGTAGTCTAAAGTGTGACTGCATTGCTTAGCCTCAGCAATCCCTGGTTGTCATTGTTAACTAAATCCCACAGACACTAGACAAGGCAATTTCCTGGTGGCTTCCCACAACCAAAATCACTGGGGAAGCCAGAAGGAACTACCGTATTTTTCAGAGTATAAGACGCACCCCAAAAAGAAGGTGAAAATCTGAGTGCATCTTATAAACTGAATACAGCATTTTTGGCCTCCCAAAACCCCATCCGCTTCACAAAAATGGCCATGCATAGCCTTTAGGAGGCTTCCAGAGTGCTGCTGGGGCTGGGGAGGGCAAAAAATGAGTGAAAAATGGGCCATCTTTTGCTCATTTTTGCCCNCTTTCTTTCTTTCTTCCTTTCCTTTCCTTTCCTTTCTTTCCTTTCTTTCCTTTCTTTCCCTTCCCTTCCCTTCCCTTCCCCCTCTCCCTCCCTCTCCCTTCCTCTCCATCTTCTTTCATCTCCTTTTTTCCCCTTTCCTTTCCCTTCCCTTCCCGTCCCCTTTTCCTCTCCTCTCCATCTCTTTTCATCTCCTTTCATCTCCTTTTTTCCTTTCCCTTCCCGTCCCGCTCTCCCTCCCTCTCCTCTCCTCTCCATCTTCTTTCATCTCCTTTTTCCCCCTTTCCTTTCCCTTCCCGTCCCTCTCTCCCTCCCTCTCCTCTCCATCTCCTTTCATCTCCTTTTTCCCCCTTTCCTTTCCTTTCCCTTCCTTTCAAGTTTTTAAGAAGAGACTGGACAATCATTTCTCTGAAACAGTATAGCGTTTTCTGCCTGAGCCGCAGGTTGGACTAGAAGACCTCCAAGGCCCCTTCCAGCTCTGTCATTCTACTGTATATTCTCTAGTGATTTGTATCCCTAATGATTCATTTTTTAACGGTTTCCTTTCTTTATGCTGGTCTTCCTCCAGCAACATGTATCGAAGCAAGGTAAAACCATCTCCCATAAAACAAACAGCTGGCCCTGCTCTTAAAAGAAGGCAGTAAAAACAGAACAGACGTAGCAAGGGGAGCTGAGCACGAGACTCCTTCGAAAGCTCCTGATGGGTCCCCGTGGAAGTGAGCCGTTCTCGCGCCTCCTCCCCCCGAAATCCTTTCTCAAAACCAGCTGTTTGGATCATTGCAGGCTTTCTTTGAAGAAGAAGACGGGAAAGAGTACATCTACAAGGAGCCCAAGTTAACTGGCCTCTCGGAAATATCCTTCCGGCTGCTGAAACTTTACGGAGAGAAATTTGGAGCCGAGAATGTCAAAATCATCCAGGATTCCAACAAGGTAACTTTGAAAGCATAGCTACGATTCTGGCCCAGTAGAACCCCAACAGCAAGAGGTGTCCTTGGTACATATACTCAAAGAGAATCTGGAGAGCCGTTGGCCTGGGAGGGTTAATTAGGGCTCCTATCCTGAGCACGGGGTTGGACTAGATGGCCTCAGGTGGCCTCAGGTGACACTTCCAACCCAGGGCTTCTGAGCTCTAATTTATTCATGCCCGGTTCAAAGTGAAATGGCAACCTGGCTAGTCCCGATCTAAGAGATTTGTTGGGAAAACCGATTAGCTTAGAATAGGGGTTAGCCATCTGTTGCTCTGGAGCCGCATGTGGCTATTTCATTCCTCTGCTGCAGCTCCCTGTCGCCGGTCGGCTCCACAATTGATAGGGCTTTCGGTTAGGACAGGTAGAGGAAAAACGATGCCCCGCTAGGAGGAGACTCTATGGTAAAGGAACCGGGTTTCCAGTCATCAGGGGGAAAAGTACACTGCACTAGGCGGAGACTCTATGGTGGGGGAACCGGACTTCCGGTCGTCTCCAGAATTGAATGGGGGACTTCCGGTTAGGACCTTTGCAGCTCTTTGAGTGTTTAAGGTTGCCAACCCCTGGCTTAGAAGGAGGACTTGATGCGGTCATCCATAAAAGGTCCTCTTTGCTCAGAAGATGCCGCTTGAGCTTTGGGGTGCCCGTAGAGTCAAAGAGACAAGTGGGGGGACCTTTGCGGTGCCCCATTATACACCCTTCCTTGCTGCATCATGGTGGAGAACCTCCTCTCAGTTGTCATCATCTCCAGAGGTTCCCAAATAGACTTAGGATCCTGAAAAGTAGGCTTCTTGGCTGGAGGTCCCTGAATATCCAAACTGGGTTGATCTTCATTTGGCTCCATTCAGACCAGTGGTGGGTTTCAAAAATTGTTCGAACCTACTCTGTGGGTGGGGCCTCCTTTGTGGGAGTG